AAATAAACAATTACGAGTTAAACTTTTTACTCTTTCTTTTCTGAGTTGTTTAGAGCTGGTTTCTCTTGTAGAAACCTTTCGTACTCTTCCATGGTCATGTAATTGCGAATTTGGTACGCAATTCCAGGTTCGTTGTTTTTGAACCTTACGTATGTAACGCTTCCATCCTCCTCAGGGAAGTAAGCTGCTAACATCTGACCAAGTTTTCTCGGTGACTCGGAGCTCATAAAAATGTCACTTTTTAAACGTTAAGTTTTTAGTCTTATTTTACCCTTTGTTTACCCTTTGTTTACCCTTTGTTTGTCAAGGTAGTATTGGAGTGCAATTTCTCCAAATTCTCTGTGTCGGAGTTCTTCAGCATTTTCCAAGGTGTCCTGGAGAACTCAAAGAAGTTGTCAAGAACATACTGCCATGCTGCTCTTCTGAGTTCGTCGGTATTTTGGAAGTGTTGCACCTTCGAGTCTTCGGACATGAAAAAATAACACTTTTTCTATTAAACCGTTTACAATTTGAATTTTGTTGCTGAATTCAGCAAAAATATAATTTAGGGTAGATGGGTATATCTAACCTCTTTTCTAACCTCTTTTCTACCTCATGAATTTTCATGAATTTTATACAGAAAATGCTTGTTTTGAGGTCGAGCCACTTTTGGCTCCACCGTATTCTTTCAACCAAAACTCATGAATTCGGCAAAAATATATTTTAGGGTAGAAGGTTAGATATAACCTCTTTTCTAACCTCTTTTCTACCCTCTTGAATTTGTCATGAGTTTTCCCGAAATAAAAAATAAAGTTGGTTTTTTTAAAAAAATATTTTTTTATTTTTATTGTAAGAACATGTTAGCAACAACAGCACCAAACTCGTTAGTCATGAACCCAACTTCAATGTTAGTAGAGATGAAAAGCTTCATTCCTTCTTCATATACTTTCGAAACAAAAATCCAGAAGATAAAGCAAGAACTTTTAACAAGTAATTTAGACTGTGTGCGAAAGATGAAACAAATGAACAGTATCTTTATGAAATGCAGGATATTATTGACCATTTACCTAAACTTCCTGAAATCCAACAACAAAAGCTTACTATTCCAGAATTCGATGAAATAGAAGTCAAAGCAACTGACTCAGTAGAAATAAAGAAGTTCATACGAAAGGTTAACTATGAGTTTCTTGGATTTCATTGCAACCACAAAGTCATGGACAAAGATTGCGATGGTATATAAGAACATCTCTGACATATACAAATCGGGAGTTTAAGACCTACGACAACTTTGTTTCGTTAGTTGCAAAATGTGTATGGCAGATAAGAGATAAAGATAGAAGAGGTAAGATATGGAATGAACAGATAAAACCCGCAACTTTTGAGTTAAAGAGAGCAATTGACGCCTTAGTCATACTAGCAGGTAAGGTTTCAGAATATAACGCAAAAATGAACCCGCAATGTTCTAAATGTAAAGCAGCAATGAGGAAATATAACTACTCCGTCAAAGAGATAGAACGTATGCGAAACGACTATGCTGACTTAAAGAGGGAGCAGAGAAACCAGCAGAAGATAAAATGGACATGTTGACATTTCTAAACAAAAACTATCCAACAGCTGACGATTTCCTTCTTTCAGATGTCAAGAAGAAGTATAAAGAAACCTTCGGCATTGTTAAAACATTCGATGTACTGACAGAAGAAATAGAAGCTACGAAATTGTTTAAAGTCTCACGAATTCACAATGTTTACCATGTAAAACGCTTATAAAATAACTGGGGTAGAAAAGAGGTTAGAAAACAGGTTAGATATACCCATCTACCCTAAAAATATATTTTTATTGAATTCCGTATGAAAATCGTGAAAAATAACAGAGTATTTTGACAACTTCAAACAAGCAGAGTAAATGAACCATTTATTTTTATTGACTTTTTACAATTTGAACTTTGTTCGCGTAGATATGAATTCTGAAAGAAGTATGAGGGTCTTGTATGACTTTGTACTTCTCCCATAGTTCATGTCTGTCAAACTTACCTGCCATGGACTCTTTCATAAGTTCCATGAAATCGTCTTCGGACAATCCAGGGAAAAGTATAATGTCAGTAAGTATTCTCTTTACATCCTTACTTAAACTCTTGGCTGTCTGTACACAAATGACAACTGAGATGTTAAAGTGTCTGAGCTTCTTAAGAATTCGACACATGTCTTGTTCTCTGTTCTTTAACAAAGGATGAGAAGCAAAGTCATCTAAGATAAGAAGACATCTATGAGGGTATGTCTTCCAATCGTAAGATTGCAATTTCTTCGAAATGTATTCTATCTCTTTCTGTTTGTTTCTGAAGTGTTTCTTCTCTAATATTCTCTGCATTTCCTCATTTGGGTCTTTAAACTTCGAATTGACATACTCATTTATAGCATTGTACTTCAAAACTCTTCTTTGGTACTTCTTTATCCAATCTAACAACTCAGAGTCTTTTATACATACTAACTTAGACTTCTTTATAATATCTTTGAACGAATTGACGGTTTGGTCAAATTGACCAGAAGTACTACAAATGACAACTAACTCATAGAATGGGTTCTTCTCATCTAGTTCTTGTTGTTGTGCAGCCATTTTAAGATAAGTGAAAGTCTTACCCGACCCAGGTGGTGCAATTAGACCTGTTATACCATTCTGAGCAAATAAGAACTTGTCATGTATGGGTTTTATCTGAGCATTTTCTAACTTCCTCTTGTTCTTGTTTAAAACATTCTCAAATTTCTTGTCAATGTCAGCAAACTTTTTTTCTAACATATTTTTAGAAAAATTAAAAATTTTATCTTTTAGAAAATGTCTAGCGATTTCGCTATCTATATTCGAGACAAACTTTTTGACAGCAAAACATCTGTCGACCATAAAATCTTACATAGTGTAAACAAGAAAGGTGAATTTGTTCTAAAGTTCTGTTTCTGGGAATATGACAAGAACCATAAAACATTACAAAGAGCAGTCTTAAAATTTGTCAATGACAGACTTGTTGACAGAGATGACGCCGATTGGAAAGATGAAGTCCAACAAAAGTTCTTAGAATGCAAAGAAGACACATGCGCTGTTCTTGAAGATGAAATAGAAAACAGAATAGAAGAGCTATTAAAGGACAAAGAACTTTTACAGAAATATGGTTCGGAGAAATTTGACATAACTCCACCAGAAAAGAAGAAGAAAGAAAAGAAAGAAAAGAAAGAAAAGAAAGTAGAAGAAGAGAAGAAAGAACCTGAACCAATTCCAGAGAAAAAGAAATTTGACATGTAAAAATAAAATTTTATTTTTAGAACATTTCTGGGTCAATGTCAATGTTCTCTTCCTCTTTCGGAGCAAACACTGGCTTAGACTCTAAAATCTTTTTACCCAATTTACCTTGAACTTCAACTATCTTAGACTCATAATATTCATAGTCGTCTGCTTTCTTTGGTTCATAAGGTATAACAAGTTTGTATGCTTTACCTTCTTCGAGTTTTGAGAACTTTCTGTCAAAATTTTCTTTGACTGCTAACAAACCTTCTATGTCTAAGTCTTCAAAAGTTGCACCACTTTTTCTAACAACAGCAAACTTAACTGGTGCAATGTTCCAAATTTTGTCAAATGTAGACTTTTCAAAATTGTAGAAGTAAACATTCAAATATGCGAATGGGTCTAGTTCTTCTTTAAGTCCTGACATGTACTTATTTACTGAGATGAATTTTGCCATCTTTTCTATCGGATAAAAAAATATTTTTTTTTAAATTTACTCATAAAAATTTTTCTTTGTATATACACCATTCTGTACGTCTAAAAGACTTTTGACATTTGCCAAGAATGTACGTTTAGACGCTGTCATATAACCATATTCTTGACAATATTGTTTATACGAATCGTACAATGACCTTTCATCTAAACACTCAAAATCAGTTTCATCTATGAACAGTTCATATACACTCTTGTTTGCTTCTAACAATGTTTGTCTCTCTTCGGTATGTGGAATTTGTCTTGGATTGAACTTTGAAATATCTAATGTCATGAAATATGAGAACAAGTGGTTGTAAAAGTCAGATGTCAAAGTTTCTGCTAAGTCGTCAAAATATTCTGTATCTTGCATATGAGAATCTGACGTTCTGACAACTACATATCTTCTGTCAGAACTTTCTAACTTCATCGGAACGGCGTTGTTTGAAACCATAATGAAATTTGCAACATTTTCACAAACTCTTTGGTCTTTATATTTTCTTTCAACAACTCCAACTTTGTCTGTTATAAGACTCTTCAAAGCATCTGAGTTTAAAACCTTTGTTGTATCTATACTTTGAAGTTCGTTACATACTATAAGTTTCATATTCTCTATTGAGAGTTAAATTTACCGCAGATGTTTTCTAAGTTTGTCATATTCGGGTTCGAATAGCCCTCTAACAGTTTGCATAAGATATCTGTAAAGAAAGTGTTCTTACCTGTTCCTTGTTTTCCAATTATAATGAGAGCAGTTTCATTTTTAGCACTTGGATGTTGTAAGATGTTTGCAAACCAACATAAGATATACTCATAGACTCTTTCGTTTCCATTGCATATAATTTCTTTGACATGGTCTAACCAAGCTTCTATAATATTTTCTTTCCATTCTACTTGTTCGTATTTATATCCAGTGAAGATAGAATAGAAGTTTGGAGAAGGTGTATAAACTTTATACCTCGAACTGAAAAATCTTCTAACTTTGACAATAAGATATCCCAAGCATCTAACATCTTCATACCAACTTGTACGACTTTTATTTTCTTAAGTTTCTGTCTACATTCTTGTTCTGAAACTATTGTCGCTCTTGGTTTGTTAAAGACAACATCCCATTCTTTCATGACATAACATTCTGGGGCAGAGTCGACATAAATGACTAAACGTTTCAAATTCTCGACTGCTTTGTTATAGTCTCAAATGGACACATATTTCTGAACGCTTGGAAGTCATAAAAATCTGAAACATCTATTCTGTACATTTTTATAAAAATAAAAAAAAATATTTTTTTATTCTTGACTTTGTTGTTGCATTTGTTGCATTTGTTGTTCTTGAGCTATTTGTTGTTGAAGTTGTTCTTGTAATACAATACTTTCACCAGTTGCATCTTCCAATTCGAAACTTTCTGCCGTCATTGACAAATACATAGGACATAAAAGTTTTACAGGAACAAAGTTTGCGTCAACTAAGGTTAAGTTTATGTTTGCTAAAGTGTTTGAGTTTACTAAAGCTGAAAACTCTGCATTCGAATGAACAATAGGCAAACCAGCAGAGAAAGTGTTGTTTATACGCATGAGTATCTTTTGGTCATAGTAGTTTCTGTCGACATTCGAATAGCACTTTGAACCTAAGTTTGAAACAATATATAAAATAGGTGTACTTAAAGTCAATGGAACAGACATTCCTTGTATGACACCTTTTCCTGTTATAGGAAACTGTTGGTAGTAAAAACCAGATATAAGTTTTGTATTATAGCTCATATCGTTTATACTAAACTCAGTCGGACATCCAAACATAATGAAACCTGCTCTAGTTGCAGCACATGTTACATCCGTCCTTAAAGTATTAAATAAGTCAACAAAACCTGTTGGTGGTATATCTGAGTAAGTATCTTCAAAGGAGTATTTTTTACCATTCACAACAATAAAGTCTTCTGGTGTCAAAAGAGCAAAACAGGCTTTAGTCGTCATTGTGTTTAAGGTTAGTTTACAATATCGTCCTTGAGGACTTTGTAAGTTTGTTGTTATAGAATTATATGACTCAGGGTTTTTAGTCGTAATAGTATAAACCACTATGTCTTCTGCCATTTACTTAGCAAGTAAATTTTAATGAAATGTTGTGGTCGTCAAATATTTTTATGACGTCTGGGAAACTATATTTTAAGTTCAACGTTTCACCTCCTTTCATAACGTATATCTTGTCAATGACATTATATGAAACACCACAGCAACTAATGTCGGGTTCTATTTCTTTGATGTTTATATCGTCTGCCTCTGTCAAAAGTTTCAATAGTTCTTTCAAAACTTCATGAGGTGCAATGACATATGAGTTCACTTTTACAGGGTTGTGTTCGACCAAGTTTAACATTATACCCAAAGCTTGACAAATCTTCTCCTGAGTTTTAAGTTTGTCTTTAAGTTGTTGGTAGTCGTTTCGAATATCTGCAACAGAACTTAAGTCTCTGCTAACTTCAGGATATGTTGGTTGTTCTTTTACAGGAACTATTGTTATACCATCTTCGTCTTCGTATGGTTTCCCCACTTCAACATCTCTTTCTTTGACATTGACAACAACACTTTGACTGTTTGTTTGAGTTGGTGAATTTAACTTCACATCTGCCACCGCCATTAAACCTTTTGAAACACTTACGCTTCTATTTTTCGGAAATGACATTTTACTTAGAATAAAAAGATGGACGTATTTGAGTATCTCTTCGAATTGAAGCAAAACAAAGTTTACACACACAAACAATACAAGTTCATTGACAGAATAGTTCTTTATACAAACAATGGAAAATGTTATAGAATAGCAGTCTTTGCTGAACCAAAATATTTTCATAAAGCAAAGAAAGTTGGTATAACCGAGATGGTGAAAGTTCTTGAAGCAGACAAAAATATAACAACAAAACTGACCGATATTTCTAAAGGTAAGTTTATAATACAATATTATATCAAAACTGGCGTACTGTCAATATTTGACGGAGAGAAGTCAGTTCAAGAACAACTTACTGACCTGCTGCCAAAATCTGCTCGATGGAAGCTGTCGTTATGCCAATCTGAGGAGCCCCAGCAGGTTTCATCGAACGAATTTCAAAAGAGCATCTTCCGTGAAAAGTGCTATTGGTTTTGTAAACTTCTTTGCTTCAATTCATCTGGACCGTCTCTGTCACCAGTATATTGTATTTGAACTGTACCAACAGTTGAAATACCACCCATAAAGTCTTCTGAGTCAGCAAATGGAATGCCAAGCCAAAAGTTTGAACGGTCTCCATTTGTATATTGAGTTTTTTGACCTCCTGTATGAGTCCATACTTTCACATATGGCATAATAGAACTTTGCATTTCAGGGTTAATGGTTGTTGTGAAGTTGTTGTTAAAGTTCATAGCATCTAATGTCAAGTTGTATGACCTCATATCCTCAACTGTAGAATATTCTTCTCTTGGATAGTATTTGCCATCTATGTTTATATGGTATTTAATACCAGGGTGTGTAGAAGCAAGAATAGTCATTTATAGTTCGTCTGAACAGTACAAACATAGTATCTGCATGTTTCATTGCAGTTGTTAAAGCAATATCTGTTCTTGCACCTGGGTCAGCACTTTGGTTTCCAACTTCACCTGCAAAGTCTTTGACAGATATTTGGTGTATAGGGAACATAAGTGGAACTGCAATATATTTGGCAGCTAAAGCATTTGAAATATCTGGGTCCAACATATAGACTGCAAGTCTGCTTTCTATTCTCTTGCATTCAAACTTTTCGCATGTGAACTTAACTGGGTCCCAAGCAGTTCCAGCAGCATTGAAGTAGTAGTTTACTTCAGTGTTGAGGTTTGAGAAACCAAAGTCTAAGTCAACTTTGTCTTTGCAAAATTCGGCGAATGACGTTTGATTTGCTCCCTTTACGTCTGTAAGAGTGAATGGGTCTTGTGTTGGTGCAATGACTAAGTTATTTTTGCTTGGAGTAAGTTCGATAGAAATTTTTCCTGCCCAGTTTGGCAAGTATCTTAAAAACCTGAAGATGAGGAAAGATGACAAAGGAACTCTAAGTTTCAGTTTTACTTTGGTTACTGCTGCTGCAGTTTGTCCAGAAAGGTTAACATAAACTCCTGGAACGTTAGGGTCAAGTCTTCTTATTTTCTCAATAGTTGCATACTGGTCTGTTTGTTCTCTAGCTTGTGGTTGTACTGAGTTTCTCAAAGCGAACCATTCATAGTTTGCCCATGTTACTGTTTGAACTAAGTCAGAGTTAGAATATATCTTATATCCCATGAAAACTTCTGGAGCATATTGGTATCCGACATAGAAAATTCCATTGCAACCTTTCTTGTCAGACAACTTGGCAGAAGGTTTTATTTCAATGTCTTGTTCCACGTATAAGAAAGAGTTGTCAATAGAAATTATATGAAACCTGTCGCAAGCAATATCTACTGTTGTTGAAGAACCTTCTCCAAACTCACCTACGTTTCCATAAGAAACAGCAGTTGTATATTCGTAAGTTCCAGGAACTATTTCTGACCTTCTAATGGCATTGTCGCATTCGTTATACCATTCGGAAACATTTCCATTCATGGCATCCAAAACTGTTGGCGTTATATTCTGAGCGGCGTACATTTCATATGAGTAAAAATATAGAATAGTTGGATTTATATGTCATAATAGAACCCACTCCGACCAAGCTTTACTTTCTTCCTGACTGAGTTTTTAACTCTTCTTTTTCCTTCATTGCCCTCTGCTTGAAGTTGTTGCATCTTTGCATTATGTTCATCTAGTATGTTGCAAATTTCCCATGTCCTTTTTGCCTTTTGGCTCTGGTCGCCCATCTCAGGTAACCTATATCCTAGAAAGAGTTTGTCATAGTCTGTATTTGAGTCTTCGCGTATTGTTTGCATGACTCTTTCCTGAGTTTCTGGTTCAAGCTCTTCAAACAGTGCCTGTCCATATGGAATATGCTCGTTTCCAAATATATGTTTTTGTAGCCATTCTGGTTTTCTTTCCATGTTACCAACAATATCTTTTGTGAATGGGAAAGCTTTTACCCAATCTTTCAGTCTTGCGTCGTTTATTTCTGTAGTTGGTTTTATTTTGTCAAGGAACATGTTTTTCAATACTAACATTTCATTTGGTACTGTCCATTTGAGTTTTCTTAAATATTCATCCCTTCTCGGTTCATTGTCTGCAAAGTAAGTTTTTATGACATTTTGTAAACTTTCGTTTGCAAGGTCATGTACAATAGGTTCTCTTCCTTCGCTGTCCTAACTTTCTTTCTAAACTCTTCGCCAAATATACCATCTCTATGGTTCTGTGTAGTTCTTTGAGATAAATGTTCTAGAACGTCAGGTGTTATATTTCCATCAGCCATGTTCATTTCATACTGGTCCAAAATATCTGCATCTTTCATATCTTTCAATGGCATTAAAGCCGCGCTTAAAATACCAGCTATATCTGGTTCACCATTGACTTCCATTGCGTCTACAACTTCTTGGAATTGTGGTTGTAAGTTTATGAACCACCTATCTGGATTAGCTTTATGACCCCATCTCATTGTAGTTCCATCGTCTGCAGAAACAAAAGTAGGTTTGTTTCCATCTTGGTTAGGTTCTGAATGAACTTTAAACAATGTTTCATTTCTATATGTTTTCTTGAAATTTAACCTTTTATTTCACCGAGTTCATCCGAAGATTGAACGTTAAATGCTCGTAAGTAAAAAGGGTTGTTGTATTTGTGTACATTTTTTTTCAGTTCTTCCATTCTATGCTGATATTTTCATCTGTGTTGGAGTCTTTTGTATGTCGGCAAACATTTTTCGATATTCTTCTACTATGTCAGCCGAATTTTTTTTAGACTCTTGGAAATATTCCATATTCTCCGCATACTCTTGTTGAGGGTCAAGATTTTTCGGCTGTTCCAAATCTTCATCTAGTTCTGTGAAGTTAGTTTCCAAAGGAGTGACTTGTTCGTTTCCTTCAGGCTCTTCTAGCTGTTGTTGCTGAACTATTTCTTCCATGTCTGGTTGTATCTGAACTTCTTCCTGTGGAGTTTCTTGTACCTCATCTGCTGGCATTTCATATATTCCGAGACCGTTTTTAAAAAGTTCCCTATCTAAGTCATCCGGACTCATAAACCTTTCTTTTTTCGTTCCGTCTCTATTTTTTACGCGTTTCATGAAGAGAGTTGAATTATCATTTAGCTCTGACACCAAATATCTCGGAGTAAATTCATTCATGTCATTTGGATGATATGCTATTAAATCATATCCCTTAGCGAGCTTGTATTTTCCAGGTTTGAAATTATATCCCATTTGGTGCTGAGCCATAAAGCTAAATAGGTTCGGGTCAGTATTTCCTTCCTTGAACTTTCTAATAGCTTCTTTATATCTGTCACTAAAGTCAAGAGTATCTGGGTAACCATACTCTTCCTTAAGCATTTTTAAGAATTCTTGGTTTCCTTGTTCTCTACTTCTTTTATGTCCTTGCTCTGTTTGTGCTGGTTGCTGTGCTGGTTGTTGTGTTGGTTGTTGTGTTGGTTTTGGTTGTTGTTGTGGTGCATGCCTGTGTCTATGTCCATGTGACGATGTAAATGTGTTAGGTAGTCCTGGTGCAGGTGCTTCTCTTGGAGGGTTTGGTGGTATATAAGTTCCACCAGCTGGCACATATGTTCCATCTGCAGCATAATGTCCTACCTGACTTTTCGTTTTTAAGAAAGCATTTACTAGGTCTGTTTTGGTCTGTTGTAACTCTTTTTCTTGACTTTCCACAACAGTTGCTCTAACGGCGTCATAGGCACTTTGAACTGCCTGTCTCGTTGCTGCATCTGTTATTTTCGTCATATTTTGTGCTACTTCTTTTAACTCTTTGTCGAAACCTTCAGACTTCAGTTTCTTTCCAGATGAGAAGTCGTTCACTAGTTTCACCTTACTATGAAGAGCTTCGAAGGCGTTCTTAAAGTCAGCATTTGTTAAAGCTTCATTTGAACTATCTTCATCCGCTTGTATTTTTGTCCTTATTGACCCTATGAGTTGGGCTGCTTTAGCGTTGGCTTGGGCATCTAACCAGTCATTGTTAGCTTTTATATATTCTGCGCTTTTCATTGCCTTTTGCATAGCCGCGTCGTTATTTTTACTTTCTTGTGCTAAGTTTTCATACTGTACGGTTTGGTTTTGCAACTGTAAAAGTTTTTCTGCCTTTACATTTGCTTCAACTTCTTTTTTATACTCATCGCTATCCATATATGTCTTCAGGGCTTTTTGTTTTATCTCTTCATCTTTCAGTATTTTATATTGAGTAGTATGGTTTTTCAAATTTATGACATCTTGTTCCATTTTTGCTACTTCTGCTGCTTTTTCTGACACTTTTTTCGCATATTCCTCTGTACTTAGTTCTTTCAGTTGTTCTTCTTTCTTCTTTTTCTCTACGTTTAACTCATTGAGTTTCTTTGTGTGTCTGTCATATTCTAGTTTCTTTTCGTTTTCACTTATTTGTTTCTGTATGTCTATGTTTGACTTTTTGACATCTGTTATTTGATTTTTGAGTGAACTCAAATTCATTTGACTTTGAGGGTTATAAGCTGTTCCGTCTGCAGCTCCACCATAGCCTGCCATTTTCGCTAAAAGTGCCGCTCTTAAACCTCCACTCTGTGCACCAACAACTCGGTTTAAAAGCATAGGATTGCTTGACATTTGTTGCAACATAGTGGGGTCATTCAGCATTTGTTGTTGCAACTGTTGTTGTGGTGTCAGTCTTACTATTGGATGTTTCAATGCTCTCTTCCTCTTACGTATATTCTTACGTAGCTTACGTGGCATTTTAAGTGAAGTTAAAAAGCGGTTTTCGACAGATGTTTATATGACACTTTTTGTTCAGCACAAAAAACTACTCGGTCAAAGTGTTGTCAGTTTTGTAAAATAACGGTCCTATCTTGTTTTAAAAGGGGAAAGGCTTCTCAAAGTATACTTCCTTGGAACGCCTGTAACTTTTCCTGTAGCGAAGATAGACCCTTACTTGTCCGGACAAAGTTATACTATTTTGAGTGCTCTACAAAAAAGTCAACGGCGACGACTCTCAAAAACCGTTGTGTAAAAAGTTTTACCGTTGGACAAAAAAGTATGTATAGAAAACAAAAAACGTTTATAGTTCATTCAATATTTGAGATGGAACGGTTTGCCAACGAGACTTTTCAATAAAATAAAAAAATAGAGGGGGTTACCGTTGACGAAAACGGTTTATTTTAAACTTTTCTATGAGTAGTCCGAAAAAAACAGTTTATTTTTGTCTAATGGCATTCGCTAGCGTGTTCGCTCCAAATTCACCTGAAGAAATTGCTTGCAAACTTTCAGCACCCACAGGTTTAGAGCCTCAATATCAAACTGCAGCATCTACACATTCTCCAAGCAGAACAGACAATTCGCTCAATCCAAAGCCACTTTCACTACCAAAAACAATACCAAACGAGCTCCGTATTACAAAGAACCACAGCAACGCTGAACTACGCAAAATACTACTCAGATTGTCTGAAGAATACTTCAATTCAAAGCCAGAAGAAAGAGTTCCTGCAACTTTTAACAAAGAATATTGTGAACAACTCAACAAAGTTCTTGCAGACTTTACCAAACTACAAAAAGAAACACCTGACCCATTCGAATTAGGTGACACAATTGTCAACTATTTTCCAACAATAACAAAGATAATGGTTGACAGAACTATATGTCAGCTTATTGAAAGTCTTCCACCCAAAGCTGCAAAAAAAGTCGAACAGTTTTGGGTCGAATTCAAATTAAAGAGTTATGGATATCAGGATGACGAAGAAGAACGTGAGTACGGACAAGAAACAGCAAAATGGCAATGTCTTAGCTCACTCAACCCCAAGTTCAAACCATTATTTTACTCAGACAACAACACAATTCAAGTACGCAAAATTGCTATTCATTTCGTTAACCAAGCAGAAGACATTGAAGAAGGAGACTCTATCTCAGTTTATGTTTGCTACTGCAAATTTTTCAAGGACGAATTTGGAGGACCAATTCTCATGCATGTCTTCAAGCCACGTCAGCAACTCTACGTTGAAACTGAAATAACACTCATGCATGGAATGTATCTCAAGTTTGAAAGCCAATTGGAAAACACATACAACATTTGGCTTTCATACATTCAGTTCGATACACCAGATGACTTTGATGTTGAAGAAGAAGACTCTACTCAAGAAGATGAACCACAAGACTCAATCCAAGAAGAGTCCTCCGAATTCACACCCGAAGACTAACAATTTTCCGAATAAAAACTTCAATTATACTAAACATCTTCAGGGCTAGAAGGCACGAAGTGCCTGGAAGCCCCACTACCTTTTTTTTTTTTTTTTTTTTTTTTTTGACAATTTTTGAAACCAAATGGTTTCGAGTTTATCATCAAGAATTGAAAAAGGAATGCCATGCTTGTAATGGCATACTAACCATTTCAGGCATGCTGTTGATGAAATGATATAGTAAAATGATGATTATTCCTATAATATAATTAGGCGTCAAAAATTTTCTCACTGGGTTTTCGTCTATCAATCCCAGCTCATTATATACGCAACCAATCAAAAATCTGATATGGGAGTCCAAGGCTAACTTTTTGTTGTCTACCTAATAAAAGAGGAAGCAGCATTAGTGAGAATAATCGCAAATATTCAATTTAAATTATCTTTTTATTCTTAATTTAAAGTGACAAAAAGAATAAAAAACCTATTCTAAGGCATGTTGTTATGTAAATGAGACTAGACATCATATTTTATGTTATGAAAAAAAAATATTTAGAATTTTAGAACAAAATAAATAGAAAAAATAGCATAACTTATAGATGTGCGTATATTAAATTTAATAAATTAAGAGAAATTATTTTTGGCGCCAAAATTATTCGTTAACTCTCAAATTTTTCTGAGTCAATAAGCCGCCAAAAAGTGTCATTTCTTTATAGGAAAGGAAACCTATTTGACGAACAATCCGGACACTAGTGCCTCAGCGAATTTCCCCAAACCCACCAATCCCCTCCCTGCTGTTGTGCACCATCGATGGAAAGTAAGTCATCAATAGTCTCTTTTCCTGATTTCAAGCTAACGTTAGATCATTCATGAAAGAAATCATTGCCTTTCATCAGAGACTTTCGTTATAACTGCGCTGCTCTCAAGTTCATCTTGAGAAATTTACGTAATAACTGAATTCCCAAAGTTCTTTAGGTGATCCAAAACACTGTAGCTGCTTGAACTTTGGACGAGCCTCGCACCCCAGAGAATAGAAATCCCAATCTTGCTCATGTTTAGTTGAATTAGTCTGCAGCAGTACAGCTCTGATACCACAAGATCGTGATGTATACAAAGTCACAACGCTATTTGATTCAACAACTAGCTAGTTTTGACATCAAATTGCAAAATTTGACTTCGTTATGAGCTCTTTGTAGCAAAAATACATTACACTTAAAGACTAGTTGCTAGACTGTAGTAGTTTGTTCGTATATATCTATTTTTCCCCAACGTATTGCATACTACATTTTGACAAGACTTGCAACCTTATAGTAACCTCGTTGGGAATTGTTCAAGCAAAGCGTAGGTAGTTAAGGTCGAGTAAGAGTTCTTCTTAAATCTTTCACTGAATGAGTAGGTGTTGGAAGAACTGTTCTCTAAAGCGATACAGTTGCGCTACATGTTCGTCAACTTGTCTAGAAATAAATATATCATTTGTTTTATACGTTTTTTCGTAATAAATCTATTTGTATTTGTTGTATTTGAGTATGAAGATAACAAAAACTACGGCATAAGACGCAGTACACTGGGCTTCGTTGCCATTTTATTTACCATGTTAAGAATAAACTTAACAGACATGCTTTGTTTTCGACGAAGCCATCTAAAATAACGTACATCTAAATAAAACTAAAAAACTGTAAAATTTCTTTATTTGATAGTATACTTCAAATTATGCACTATACCTTCTAGAATTCTATAACACTCTTTGCATATAATTTTTTTAAAAAAAGTTATATCTCGACAAAAATATGATTTATCAATAGAGTATGTAAAATAAAACTCATTCGCAGTATTAAAAAATCGTAAATCTTTCCAAAAAAATTTTGAATTACAAATTTTAAAACTTAAAACAACATTTTTTGAAGCGAAAAAACGAAATCTAATTTTTTTTGGAAAATTTAGAATAAATAGAGCTCTTTAACTCGTCGAATACAAATTGTTTTCAAGTTTTTTTCGACCGGAAATTGAACTTTTAGAGTTTATACAATAAGATTCACATGAAAAAATACGGGTTTAACAAAGAAATCACCAATATAAAGGTTTTTTAGTAGAACGAGATTGATAAAAACTATGGTATGATAAAAAGACGATAATTTTTTTGGCGGGATAATTGAAGAATATGAATGATTCGAATTACAGACATACTCTAGTCCGAAACTTACTATGGTTCGTGACTTATTTTTGACACAGAATAGCTGTAGACTAAGGCTTACTCTAGATCCAGACTTATTATACAATTAAATTTGCTTTTGGAATAAGACTTAATTTTAGTTACAAACTTATCTTAATATCAGACTTATATTTAGAATCAGACTTACTTTAGTCTAGAACTTACATTTAGAATCAGACTTCCATTTCAAGTCAGACTTACTTTCGTCCGAAACTTACATTTCAAGTCAGACTTACTTTCGTCCGAGACTTACATTTCAAGTCAGACTTACTTTCGTCCGAGACTTACATTTCAAGTCAGACTTACTTTCGTCCGAGACTTACATTTCAAGTCAGACTTACTTTCGTCCGAGACTTACATTTCAAGTCAGACTTACTTTCGTCCGAGACTTACATTTCAAGTCAGACTTACTTTCGTCCGAGACTTACATTTCAAGTCAGACTTACTTTCGTCCGAGACTTACATTTCAAGTCAGACTTACATTAATATCAAACTTATATTAACCTACAACTTACTTTTATTCCCAGACATCTTGATCCACACAGTGTCTGAAAGATGCAACAGTGTCTGACAGATGCAACAGTGTCTATGAGATGCAATATTATCTGTCACACATAACAATGTCTGACAGATAAATCTTTCTATGATTCTAACCCTAATTACATTTTTCGTAAAAACCTATATTTAAGATTTGCAATTATCACCCTTTTTTCTCTTCCAATAATGCACAAAACCAAGATTTGACATCAGATTTAAAATCTCCATCAAGTCTGCTTTCCAAATCCGCTGTCAAAACTTGAATATCTCAATTAATTAATGATATTCAGATATTGCGAATAATCTTTAGGTAAAGAAGAAAATTTAGGTTGTAAAATCATATAAAAATGTAGTTAGAGAGCAAAAATTATGTTTGAGTGGATCTCCATGAGTTAGTATCCCTAAGTTGCGTACTGTGGCACTGCGCGCCTCCGTACACCACTTAACGGTTTTGACACTTTACGAAACTGGTAACATATATTTTACAACACAAACACAAACACTAACTTAACCTTAAATATTTACAAAACTATCTGACACATAAACGACTTCACTAACGAACTCACTAACGAATTCACTACCGTCCTCACTAAATAAAAAATAACCTTATTTTTATTTTTTTTAAATTTTTTATTTCATTACAAAGACATGTCCGACTACATTTACTATGACTCTTTCCCAGAACGTTTCCGTGAACTATTCAAAACTCAAGTAAAACTGAGAAACATGCATTTTAACAAAGACAGACCCATTGACGATGAAAGAAACCCTGAATATATTACAATCCCTTATGACGCAAAGTTCATTGCATACATTCCTTATGGTCGCAGAGGAACGAAAACTATTTCAACAAAGAACAAAAATTATTTCTGGAGCGATGAAGAAAATTGCCTTATCTACATAAATGCATACTTAAATAAAGCTACATATTGTACAAAAGAAGGTTGGACTGGATTTGAGCTCTACATATACGACGACGATGGAAACAGACGCTGTGTATACCCATACGATAATATGTACCATTGTTTTCATCAAGCATTAAACGAATACATAGTCAGTAAGGGTCTCATTCCTGCTGAGTAGAAATGTTATATTTTTGTTCTGTCATTTACATAAAAATAAACTTAAAAATTAATGATATCACCACCCTCACACGTATGAAAACATCCATTTAAATTTAGGTGAAGTGGTGAAATCTCACCTGTTTTTTCACCTCTTTTTTCACCCGTTGAATTCATTACTTTATAACTCTCTTCCTTGGTTTCTTTTTAGTTGCTTTCTTCACGTCTGTCTCCAGCTTAACTGTCTTTCTTCTTCGTCCGTAATGATACCAGTTACTTCCACCAGTCAATGGGTCAAATGGTCTTTCGTAAGGGTTTCCATACATTCCATAGGGACCATACGGAAGAACTACTGGTGGAGGAAGAGTTCCATCGACTCTATTTAAATGCATCGTTTCACCTTTCATCTGGTCATTAAAGTCTTTTGCATGTTTTGCAAACTCATCGTCCTTTCCTAAAGCATTTTCTGACTCAGTCGCAACCAAATTGGATGCTTTATTTATGAGCCCTATTTTATTTAATCTTAACTTCTTTGCAACCCAGCCTCCAATCTTTCCTTTATTTGCATCTAATGTCTTCGAAACTCTTCCTCCACTCATTTTATTTACTGCGTCATAAGCCCCAAGTGCTTTTGCTCCAAATGCTAATGCTTTTGTTCCCATTGCGCCTAAAGCTGCCCAAGCTACCATTTACACCATATTAAAATCATCTCTCTTCAATATTATCTCATAAAAGTTCTCTTTACTGGAGAAAGTCAATGAAACATAAACATTCTCATTCATAAACTTCTTTCTTATCTCATCTATACGCTTCAAAATGTCTGAACAATTGCTAACATCTTCTACAACAGTTATTTCATCATGAATGACCTTCAAGAACAAGCTCATTTAATATGCTATTAAAATCATCTCAATAATGAGTCCATCCTTTCCATCTTTGGGTAGCACAACATCTTTCATTGAAGAAGGTTCAACAAGTCTTATGTTAAACTTACTGACAAAGTTTGTTATACTATAATGCTTCGGCGGCGAATACATATAGTTTGAAAGACATAATATAGATTCTTCAGCAAATTCACTTATACTGGATTTTATAACAATGTTCTCACGAGACCAAATACCACCAATTGACAATCTTGTAAGCAATCCTGCTGAACCTTCTACTGTAAACGTCGATGGTAACATTCCACGAAGGTCATCTATTGACATCGTTGAGTCACTGAATTTAAATATTTTCTTAAAGCAATCGTCATTATCTAACCATGCAATAGCTTTGAAGTTTTCATTCGAATATACATCTGCTTCATTAAATGTAAAACCTGACTTCTTTGCAGAGACGACTTTAAAATCTATTGCATTTGTTTCAAAATTATACGCTATGGTAACTTCTGAAGGTAATGGGTGTCCTTCCGCAGTAAGTTGTTCTCTCACTACCGTTTGAAGCTTTGTGTTAAAAACTTTCATGTCATCTCCTGTGTCTAGGTTCACATACACAGCAATAGGAAAACTATCTTGCTTCTTTGTCTCATCATTATACCTCAAAACATTAAAGTTCTTCAATAATATTGTCCTTCCTGCCGGAATACTTCTAACTTGTCTTATTTCAATAGCTTTCTCACCTCCTACATACTCTACCCAGTGTCTTGGATATTCATAAGTATACTGACTTTCTTGAATTTTGGTTGGTTTCATCATAACGTGTTCATAGTATATCTTTATACTCTTGTCAGTTAGACTCGGTGCTATGTTCTGAATATTTCTGACTTGCATTTTTAATGGAGATAAAATGAAGCATTTAATACATGACGTAGATGAAGACATGAATGAAACTACAGACAAACTTAACTCTTCTCTCATTCTTCCTTTCAGTAAGGACTATGAGTTCTGTTCAAATGGTGTTTATTTCTATTGTGGAAAGATGGGGTCAGGTAAGACATTTAACCTCATTCGTCATATACTCATAACAGAGCGTTTAGGAAATGACTCATATTATGACCAAATCATTATATCAGCAACTTCAGACTCTATGGACTCAACAGCGAAAACATTTATGTCAAAAGTTCAAGCCTCTGTCGTTAAAGTTCCAGACAGTGAACTCATTGAATTTCTTCAACGTTACATTCGACGTAAGAGGAAATATTATGCCATCGTTGAATTTATACAGTCAGGAATGCAAAAGACTTCAGAAGAGATGGAAAGAATTATTGACAAACACCACTTACGTCAGTACTCAGGAGTTTACGATATGAAACGACTGACAAACTACATTCTGTCAAAACTTTCAAAAATACCCCTTCAAAAAGTATCCTTCAAACACTCTGCTCGTTTGCGACGACTTCGCCGGAAAAGGTTTAGTGTCAAAGCCTGACTCACCATTAGCTAACATCATAACTAAAGTCAGACATTACCACTTAACTGTAGCAATACTTATGCAAACATGGAGGTTTTTAGCTTTAAACATAAAACGTCTCATAACTGACTTCGTTATCTTTCAAGGTTTCTCACGCTATGATATTGAACTCATTTGGAAACAGTCAGGTATAACATTACCTTTTGAAGAAATTTGGGAAGCATATAAGTCTCTCATCTCTCCTCGTTCATACCTTGAGATTCATATCATGACTAATACCATTAAAGTCAAAAATATTCCATGGGAACGACCAACATTGTTTTAAAGTTTAACCTTCAATTGACTGATGGTAAACAAATTCCATGCATCTCTGTCGCCATTTCTGTTAATATTTTTGCTGTCATTCATATCATCCACTTCCCCATCCGTTAACTTTTGAGGATATGCGTTAGAATAGCTGTTCTTAAATGAAGGCTTTTCACCTTTTAGCGCATAAACTCTATAACTTTCTGCATACTTTATGTTTGAACCTCCTGAGCCATCATTGACATAAATTTTTATAGGCTTCCACCCTTTGTTCATGTTCCTGCTTCTTCCCTTAGCTCTTTTGTTCAGTAGTTCTACATCTTTATACACAGCTCCTGTCTCAGTGAATTCAACAATATTTTCATTCGTTAGCTTTACATTCAAACCCTTGTCGAGTATATTGTTCATTTCATACATATAAAAGGTTTTTTATTCTATAAAGAATGAGAAGCAATCCATCTTAGCTGGTGCCGTTAATGTTCCAATTGAACCAACATCAAATGTTGACTCACGAACGACAAACAATATTGTCATAAAAACTTAGTTCAGAGTGTTTGAAAGAAAAAGAACCAGAGCTGAAATCCGTGAATTTAAACTCAGCTTCAAACGCTAACGCTACATCAGATGTTAAGTTAGAGTATCCACCACTGGACCAAATTCTTTCAAGAGAAGCCAACGACAACCCTTACATAAATGTTCAAACAAATCCTTCAGATAACGTAGACCATTACCTTCTTCAGTTATACCAAACAATTTTACTCAAAGACGATAAGAAGCTTTTGACAAATCTTATAAGCAAGAACCAAATAATTCTAACAAAGGAGGACCTTGAAAATGTTATATCACGAATAACAGGGAAACAATGTGTCATTGACTATCTCGACCCTGAAATCGAATGCTGTGGTCAAACGCCACCATTCATGAAAATAGGTAACATCCGCATCATTGAAACACCAGGAACTACAGGAGTTGAGTTTAAGTATAAATATTCGAACGAGTATACAAAACTTTCAACAGAATATAAATTATGTTTGAAATATGTTTTAGTAAATTAAAGCAATTTGTAATATCTATCCAAAACTTCTTCAACAGTATCGAACTCATCTTCATAATGCAAACCTAATCTTATTGACTTGGTGCAGTTCTCACTAACACAATATAGCGCTTTGCGCTCGGCGCCTTTGACGCCTTTTTCTGTTCTCTTGACTGACATAACTAACTCATTTGTTTCATCAAACAGCAACAACCAAAGTTCATGACCTAATACATAACATTCATACTTTATATTTTTAGCTCTGAGTTCTCTTGTAAGCTGTTGCATTTAATATTTTCTAAAAAGTCTACTTCAACAGTCATTCGCACTGGTGCCTTCAGTTCTACAGGCTCTCCTTGAAAGTCAACTAGTCTGAATTGCATGTCTTTCAAATTATGAGGACTAATGCGAACCCATTTACCTAAATGAGTTGCTATGACAGGAACGTTTGGAATGAACATTGAATTGACTGCATAACAGAAAGACTTATATTCTACTGAACCTTTACTATTAACTCCTGAAATACCTGTGACATTAGCTATTTTAGACTCAATGTATAAACAATTACCATAACATACGTATGGAACAGATTTCATCTCAATCGTTTTGTCAATACTTTTCAAAGGAAATGTCATATGGTATGCTCCCAGAAGCAATTGAACTCTATGACTCATTCGTGTTATCTTAAACTCCTTCGCATAACTGAACTTCAAAACTCCTGCAATAAGTTTAACATTCATTAAGTTTTCTTCGTTATCCTTGTTTATTGTAGTATTTATGAGAGCATTTAACACTCCGGCTAATGTTTCCATCTTATATTCTACATTATTGTGAAATCTTATTTCATGCTTCTTTCCATCTATTTCAAACTCCATGAAATCTGTTTCATCTGTTATGACAAAAGTTGCGATAGTATTGAAGTCAACAACTCTGAAAGCAAGTGCTTCATTCTGTAGACCTAAGTTTGTTTGAAGCTTTACTGTTCCATATTCGTTTGGGTCAGTACTTTGCAAATAGAACAACATTTTATTCTCATTAAAATATGACTATTGCTGCATATGCGTATGAAGCTGACAGAGCTAAACGTTTATATTTTGGTCAATACTCTCTCACACTTACTGACAAATATATTGTTATCAGTGATGGAAATACCGAGAAATACATAACATGGAAGGACTATGAAAAGTTTGACCCCATTTTAACTCCATGCACTATGCCATTCATTGTAAATGGTGAAGTTGTCATGAAGAACGACACAACAGTATATAAGTCTGTTCATGAAGCGTTAGAATATATGTTGAATTATAATCCCGAAAGATTTGACCCAAGCACTACGCCATGTACAATGCCTTTTATTAAGGATGGTGAAATCGTAAGAGTTCCGAATTCAACGGTTTACACAGCTGTTCAAAACAGTTTACAAAACATTTTAGCGAATATCTTTAATTCAGAAACTACAGAAATAAAATTACCATATATAACAGATGCTAAAGAAATTAAATCAAAAACGACAACATTATTTACGTCACTTAATGATTTAATGACTTATATCATTAATATTCCTGCACCAACTACAGCATTTGATCCAAACTCGACGGTTTGCAGTGTACCTTTCATAAAGTCGCAAACGGACTCTTTGAGTCCTGAAGGTCTTTCAGACCGAAGCGACCAGGGCGAAGCCCATGACAGTTCATTAATTGCTTTAAGGGATTCGACAGTAAATGAATCATTAAAGGCGTCATTAATGAAAATCATTGATTTTAATTCATTCATGAATACATATAATTCATTCATTAATGTTTCATATGCTTCTAAAGAAGGTGAGCCAAAAACTATCGATAAAGCGGTGTATGAAATAAAAGCATCAACGACGAAATTGAATTCGTTAACTTTTGACGGTGATAGTTTCGTTAATGACATAACATCGGGGAAAACAATTTTAACGAAAGAATATTTAAAATCTCATGTTAGTGAGTTCGTTGAAATTGAAAAAGAAGGTGGAATTAAGTTCGATCCACTGAATTTCATTTTCAGCTTAGCGAATGCGGGTATTAATTTTGCTGAATGGACAACAATACAGAGTGAAATAAATGCAATATGGACGTTTTTGGGGTCAAAAGCGGGAATGGGTGAGCTTGTAAATGCTGCAAGAACATTAGGTGAAACAGGAAATTTTGTAGATGGTTTTAAAAGACTTGTTTCAAATGTTTTAACAAACACAAAGAAATTATTTAGATATACCATACATAACGGTCAGATTTTCGAACAGGTAGCAACAAACCCTCCGGTTATGGCTGCGTTGATGATGGTTAGAGATATAAAACCACGTAACGACGGGAACGAAGAACATGAACAACAGAGCCCAACGGGCTCAGAGCCACATAGTGGCGAGGATACTGGTCGGGTTATTCGAGACATTAAAAACGTGTATCCTGAAGTTATTGATTTATTTAGAGGAGTTAATGATTCAATTTCAAAACATTCTATAACCCTCGATGAAGAGAATAAATTAACAGATTATATATTCGTCATTATTGCAGAATTAATGAAGAGAATAAATGAAAAAGGAATTGGTGATATCATTAATGTCAGCGATGTAATGATGAAAAGAAATTTTGACTCATTATTTACAAAACCGAAAACAGAATATAGTCTTTATGACGTAATTACCGAATTAATGAAAAAGATTAATGATAATAAGAGTTCTGGCGGAAGAGTTGAATTAGAAGTGAATGATGTTAATGAGAAATTAGCCGAAAAAGCAAACAAAAATGAGCTTTTAGCTCTGAGTGATAAAGTCAAGAACCACGTTCATTATATAACTTCAGACGAACAGATTATAACGGACTACCATGGATATTTAACACAGGATGAAGAAGCGAAGACGAAAGATGTTAATGAAAGAAGATATAAATACATTCGTGCTAAAGGTTATGACATAAGCTGTACTGTACAGTATGACACGGGTAAAGCACAAGAAACATTTGGTTATAACGATGAAATTTATGCCTCTACTTTCAATGTTAAAGGTGTATTAGTTGAACCAAGATTTACTTTGAGAGTTAAGTCAAAAATAACGTTTGAAGATGCTATTAAAAGTAAAGCTGACAAAGTTGAACTCGAAGCAACGAACAAAGTTTTGAAATCTCATAAACACAACATCTCCGATATAAATGAACTTCAAGCTACATTAGACAGTAAAGCCGACAAGAACCATACACATAAATCCTTCACTACTGTTAGAGCAGACGACATAATATTGAACTTTGACCTTGGTTCAAGTGCACCATTAGAAAATCCAAGTACAAGCGTAAAAGATACTCTTAACAATTTAGATAAGAGTTGCAGGAACATTGAAAGTCATGCCAGAAACTTTGAAGCATATGAACTACCAGCAATGTTAGACAAGAAAGCAGATAAAACTTATGTGGATGCAGAACTAACAAAGAAATTTTCGAAACCAGATACAATGACATTTACAACAGAAATTATAAATGGTGAACCAGCAACTCCATTTGAATTTGTTAGAGGTCTTCAACCAGATACTTTTGAATTTTTCTTGGATAATTCTATTGAACTAACATTACATTATAAAAGTGGAACAAATGCAACATTTCATCCGGGAGATACATTCCAAATGGTATTTAATGACATAAGTTCTTTAGAATATGTTTATAGAGTTATGAGCATATATGATTTAATATATCCTATAGGAGCTGTTTATACGTCTATGAATCCAATAAATCCAAACACTTTATTTGGTGGTAGATGGTATGAAATAGTTGACAGTTTTCCATTCTACACTAATACGCAGTCAATGAAGATGGGAGGTTCAAAGAAAATAGGTATTGAAAACCTTCCTTCACATATGCATAGGTTCAGTGGAAGAACATCTGTGGAAGGAAACCATTCACATTCAATAACAAAAAAGAGGTTATACAAATCTTGCAGCGGGTTCGGATAGACAGGGAATGCATAGATATGATATCACAACTGACCCAGTAGATTCAAGCACAGGTATTTTCTGTGGAACCGCAGGAAATCATACACATGTTGTAGCTGGTATTACAGACCCAGCAGGTAATGGAAAAGATTATATGCCTCCTTATATAACAATACACGCTTGGATACGAGTTGGTTAAAATCTTTAACTTTACATAAATGAGCTTGAAAGAAGTATTCGAACAACATCCATGGAGGTCATTTAAGAAATTCAATGAAGCTGCAAAGAGTTCGGGATTTACTAACAGAGCTGAAGTGAAAAGGTTCTTTGACAAAAATGTTGTACATCAAACAAAAATAAATCCTTACGACTACTTTTTACCAATTTACTCCAACACTTCTGACGCATACCAATTTGACACTCTCATTCAAAGCAGAAAAGGAGGACATAAACCATTCCTCATCTTCATTAATGTTAACACTCGCAAAGCTTTTGCGTATATAATGAGAAATAAAGGAACTCATGAAGTGTTAAGAGTTTTACAAAAGTTTGTAGCAGAACATAGCCCAAGTATTTTAACATCAGACCAAGACGGTGCATACCTCAGCAACGAAATCACAGAATTTCTCATTAAGCATAACATAACTCACTACACTACTGAAGACCATAACCATAACATACTCGGCATCATAAACCGCTTCATAAGGACTCTCAGAGATTTAAATCAAGAGCGAGACTTTACCGAAGAAACAATGAAACATTTCATCGAAGTTTACAATTCCTCAACACATTCTACAACAGGACATACACCAAATTCAATGACACAACAACAAGAAGAAAAGTATATACAAAAGAAACGAAGTCAAACACAAAATATCAGAAATTCAACACAATTTACTCTCATTCCTGGAACAAAAGTTCGTGTAGTTCTTGACGACAAACCGTTGACAAAGAAACGTTTAAGGTTAAGTCGAAATTATTATATCGTAGACTCTACGCAAGGTAATGGATATCTTATAAAAGCTGCTGACGACTCCATAGCATTTTACCCTCGACATAAATTAGTCGAAAGTAGTAATGGCAAACTTGCTGAAACCATTGACGAAGCAAAGCGAGGAGTGGTTATTGAAATACTTGACTACAACATAAACGATGACACTTATAAAGTAAGATATGAAGGAGGCGTTGAAGATGTTATACCATCTAAGAACTTGAGAGAATCTAAACCAACTCATCTGGGACCATTAGAGCGGGAGTACTGGAAAGATAAAAACATGCCAGAAAGAATAAGAAAATTCTTCTAAACTTTTTCATTAGATGTAAATCAGACAAAAATATATTATAGGTGAAGAGGTGAGATTTCACCTGTTTTCTCACCTGTTTTTTCACCTCTTGAATTTTCATGAATTTTCACAAAAGACCAAAAATAAAGTTAGTTTTATTTTTTTATTTTGTATGTAAGAACAGAAATGTCAGTCGAAGCAAAAACATTCACGAACAAATCTAATGGTGAAACATTCACAAAAGGCACTTATAATGGTATTGAAGTCTTACGTAGAGACAAGGATGGTTACATTAATGCAACAAAGATGGCGAGAGAAGCAGGAAAGTTAAACCATTTAAACAGATTTCTCAATAGTGCTAAAATGCAGGAAATTCTTGAGTTTTGGTTGAAAGAATACGGTCGAGCCAAAAGTGGCTCAACCTCAAAACAAGCATTTTATGAGCTTACTAAGGGCGTTATGAATGAATTCAAAGGTATTTACATACATGCTGACCTCGTTCATTTTGTTGCTGAATGGTGCTCTGTAAAGTATGCATTTTATGTCAAAGATATTATGGACTCCATAGACAAGAAAGTTCATGAGAAGTTAGATGAAGAAGAACTCGAAGATACAGTGGAGAATGCTAAACCTTTGTTCGAAGAAGAAGTTGGAAAAATGTGTGAAAAACAATTAGAACATGAACGTGAGATATATTATGGTTATAGAGATTCTCCATACGAACTAGACCAATGGGAACAAGAAGATTTAAAGAGAGAATTTAGAGAATATGAACTCGCTAAGATAGCATTTGAAGCTGCAGAAAAGAAGTTAAAAGTTTGGGGTCGTTTTGTACAAAAATATTGTGAGTAAATGAACCATTTATTTTTATTGAATTCACCAAAAAATATAATTTAGGTGAAGAGGTGAGATCTCACCTGTTTTTTCACCTCTTTTTCACCTCTTGAATTTTCATGAATTTTCACAAAAGACCAAAAATAAAGTTAGTTTTATTTTTATTTATTTTTTATTTTGTATAAAAGATATGATTTCAACAATCGGCACAACAACAATTCAAGCCGCGAACGGCGGGACTCTGTCCACAACAACAACACCAAACTCGTTAGTCATGAATCCTACGTCAATGTTAGTAGAGATGAAAAACTTCATTCCTTCTTCATATACTTTTGAAACAGAAATCCAGAAGATAAAGCAAGAACTTTTAACAAGTAATTTAGACTGTAGTGCGAAAGATGAAACAAATGAACAGTATCTTTATGAAATGGAGGACCTCATCGACCATTTACCTAAACTACCTGAAATTCAGCATCAAAAACTAACTATTCCTGAATTCGACGAAATTGAAGTCAAAGCAACTGACTCAGTAGAAATTAAGAAATTCATACGAAAGGTAAATTATGAATTCCTTGGTTTTCATTGCAACCATAAGGTTATGGACAAAGATTGCGACATGGTTTATAAAAACATTTCTGACATATATAAATCGGGGGAGTTTAAGACCTACGACAACTTTGTTTCGTTAGTTGCTGAATGTGTTTGGGAAATAAGAGATAAAGATAGAAGAGGCAAAGTATGGAACGAACAACTAAGACCCGCTATGTTTGAGATGAAGAGAGCAATTGACGCTTTAGTTGTTCTAGCAGGTCAAATTTCAATGTATAATGCAAAAATGAACCCGCAATGTTCAAAATGTAAGGCAGCAATTAGGAAATATAACTACTCCGTCAAAGAGATAGAAAGAATGCGAAACGACTATGCTGACTTAAAGAAAGAAGTAGAGAAACCAGCAGAAGATAAAATGGACATGTTAGCATTTCTGAACAAAAACTATCCAACAGTAGAAGATTTCCTTCTATCTGACGTCAAGAAGAAATATAAAGAGACTTTCGGCATTGTTAAAACTTTTGATATCCTCAGCGAAGAAATAGAAGCTACAAAATTGTTTAGGATTTCAAATATACATCGTACAATTCATGTAAAACGCTTGTGAAAAAACTGGGGTGAAAAAAGAGGTGAAAAAACAGGTGAGATCTCACCTCTTCACCTAAATTATATTTTTGGTCATTTACACTCATTTACGAAGAAGTCATGACAAAGCATTTACGAAGAAATCTTGACAAAGTCAAGACCCTTTGGGTCTCGCCGCTTAGCGGCTGAGGTGAAAAATTAGGTGAAAAAACAGGTGAGATCTCACCTCTTCACCTAAATTATATTTTTGGTCAAAGCTTCCACGAGAGAAAAGATTCCTCATTTGCTAAGGATTCCAAAAATGAAAAAATCGTTGATTTCGGCTGAGAAAAAACGGCAAAAACCCTTCTTCCACGGGAACAAAGAAATAAAGAAGAAATAAAGAAGAAATAAAGTAAATTTTTTATTTATTCCCGTGGAAGATAGAGCACTTTTAGGACACTTTTTATTCACGACAAACAAGACAAACAAAGAAAATAAGAAAATACGGCGCCGTCGCGGTTCGAACCACAGACTCTGACCCCTCCATAACACCACCTTAGACCACTGTGCTACGTAGCCTGTCGACATAAGATTTTATAAATTGCATATTTGACGTAAATTTATTTCCATCTAGCTTCCCACCGCATAAGATATTCATACGTGTTTGTAAGACATTCATTAAACTTCTTTTCTATTGCATCTAATCTTGCGTTATTTTTTTCAATAACTTGTCTGTATTCTTCATCATCTCCAGCAGTGTTTGGGTCTTCACGTTTAAAATATTCATTGTTAACCAATTTTTTATCTACAAATTTTATTAGTGTTTGATTCACTTCGTTATGATAACGGTCATATTCTTTCAATACGTAAGTGAAGACAAAATGCGTCGTACCTTCAATCTTAAAGCTTAAAGAACTTTCAACACAGTTTTGAGGGTCTGTCAGTGCGTCAATGAGATAGTATTCGAAGTCAGTCAATAATCTTTTTAAAGTCATTTCATACAGGATAAAATTTAATGTTGTGAAGAAATAGTGTTTATCTCAAAAAAAATAAAGTTAGTTTTTATATTTTATTTATTTTTTTATCCTGTATGTAAAGACAGTAATGACAACATCAGAGAACACAACAACAGTTATAGTCCATGAAGTCATAAATGAAGAATACGAGTACATACAATATAACAAACAGTTACGTCTCATTCGTTCTGTCAAAGACACAGTGTACCAAATGCAAAGTATTTTGACAGCATGTTATGCTCCAGATACTAAACTTCCTAAAGAACTGGTTTAGGAACCAAAGCACTATTGAACTATTAAATGAAGCACAGCGAGACATACTTTTTTCTGAAAACAGTGAAGAACAGCGAGTAGGTAAAAAACCCCAGTCGCCAAAACTCTATGAAAATCGTGAAAAATTGCCAAACGGTTTGAGAGGATATTATGTTCATAGACTTCTCGTAAATGTTGTAGCAATGTGGGCTTCACCTCGTTATGCTTGGTATGTTTGTAAACTTCTTGACGAAATTCACAGACAAGAACGCGAACAGATGGAAAAGAAACTTCAAGCAAAAGATGAAGTCATTGAATCCAAAGACAAAAGCATACAGAAAAGAATACCACGTTCAGTACCAAAAGGAAAGGAAAAGAGTTATAAGTATATGATTTACGCTGAAGAGATGGAAAATGAAGAAGACAGAGATA